GAAGGGAAGGGAAGGGAAGAGAAGAGAAGAGAAGAGAAGAGAAGAGAAGAGAAGAGAAGAGAAGAGAAGAGAAGAGAAGAGAAGAGAAGACGCAGCAGTTCAACACAATCAAAAGAGTTAAACTAGGGCTGGGGATTTAGCTCAGTGGCGCCGCTCCTGCCTCACGAGCTCAAGGTCCTGAGTTTCATTGCCTGTACAGAAAAAGAAAGGAAGGAAGGAAGGAAAGAAGGGAGAGAGGGAGGGAGGAAGGAAAGAGCAAAAGAAAGAAAGAGATAAACTAAGGCTGGAGATTTAGCTCAGTGGCACAGTGCAAGCACAAGGTCCTGAGTTCAATCCCTAGCACCAGAAAAGGGAGAGAGAGGGAGGGAGGGAAAGAGAGAGATTGCCAAAGAATGATCAAGGAAAATAAAACGGCACATAGAAACAACATTAAATATATAAAATGATATAATGGTTAGCACAGTACAGACTTATAGAGTATAAAAGAATGCTGGCCGGGCATGGTAGTGTACACCTATAATCTCAGCACTCTGAAAGGCAGAGGCGGGAGGACTGCAAATTAGAGCCCAGCCTGGACAAAGCAGTAATTTATTGAGACACTAACTGAAAAAAAAAAAGTTCAGAGGATATATTTCATTCAAAAACCCTGGATTCAATCCTCAGTGCTGGAAAGAAAAAAATTCTGTGATCAATTCTGTTCAGATCGCAATAGGAGTTCTTGAATTGTCAGAATAGAAAATAAGTATAGGAAGTGCTGGGGATTTAGCTCAGTGGTTCCACTGCCTGCCTCGCAAGCTCAAGGTCCTAAGTTCGATCCCCAGTAGAAAAAAAAAAAAAAAAAAAAAAAAAAAAAAAACAGTTACAGGAATTCCTTGCAAAGGAAGAATTAATAGGAAACCTGAATGTTCAACAAACAAATAAAGAGATGTTCACCCTCATTAATAAGTAAAGAAATGAAAATTAGGGATAAAAGTAATACCATTTTATATTTTAGCATATCTATGGTCATTTTTATCTGATATTACTGCTTACATAGAAAATGAGAATATCTGAAATAAAATTATCAGAACTAATAAGATTTTGGCAAGCTTGGTCAATATACCACCAACATATAAAAACCAATATATCTTTGCCTCAATAATAACTAATGTTAAAATAAAATTGAAAAAAATATATGCAAGTATTTATACTCATTAGAAACCTAGAAAGAAACTTAGCAAATATGTAAGTACTGTTTATAGAAAATAATTTCAACACAATTCTTATCAAAATCAGAATAAGATTTTATAAAAACCTTGATAAATCCCAAGGTTCGTGACAATGATTTTAAAAATTATGAGGATTAATTTAGTACTGGAGATTATTTCTTGAACTATCAAATATTGTAACTATTTTTAAATTATAACAGTACTGAGTGATACTAATGTTAATAAATTATATATTGCATTTATATATTCATATATATATATATACATATATATGTTCATTTCAGAGCACTTCATTGTGTTCCACTTGCCTATGACACTAGAAATCAGTGGGGGGTAAGCATGGATTATTAAAAAATGATATGATAAAATAACCTCAGATTCCTAACCCTCATAATATGTGAAAATGTATTCTTGATGGAATAAAGACTCTAATTCAAAATGCAGAACACTAGAACTTTTAGAAAAAAATCAAGATAAATATCTTCACTACAACAGTAAGGCATTTTAGTGTTCTGTTACTATATAATAAATCATACCAAGTTTTCAAGCCTTGAAACAGCAATGTGCTATTTCTTTTGATTCTGTGGGTCAGAAATTCAAGCAGGGCTCAGTGGGTAGGTTTTCTGCTTCATGTGGTATCAGAGGTAATATTCTCAGCTTCAATCAATTGGTGGTTGAGCTGGCTGGAAGACTGGAGATATCTTAACTAATGTTGGCACTTTAGGGCTCCTTTCTGTGTTCCCTCTCCCTCTCTCTCCCTTTGTGTGTATGTGTGTGTGTATAGTAGTCTCAAATATTTTCTATCATCTTTGTAGAATTCTGTTGGTTGAAGAAAGTACCAGAGATAATCCAGAGATCATTTGAAGAGGAGTCTGATACTATATTTCCTTCCAAATAAGACCTGACTGGAAAATAAGCACTAATATATTTCAGGATGTTTGCAATATTAGCCCTACCCATAAAATAAACCCCAATTAAAACTGTCAGCCAGCCAGTTGCAGTTAGTACATCTGATGCAACATAAAACAGGTGTATTGAATTATGAAATAATATTTATATATTAAATATCAATAAATATCAATAATATTAATACTTAAAATAAATGATAATACAAATCATCATTAAGTGTTTCTAAAAACTCAAGTGAGCATCTTTGGAAAAGTGAGAGGTAAATGCTTGTGTAAACAGATTAACTCAAGACTTATTGCCAAATGAGTATAGACACAAGGTATAAATGCACTTGGTAACAAATGGATGTGGTTTTGTACAATATGAATCTCATAACAGACATGCTTAATGCACTTATGTAAAATAAAGAAACATTTTCTGAATTTTAGTGCCTGAAAATTTTCATCATTTTGGTGTGGACCACCATTCTTAACTGTCATCATTTTTGTTGTCATTCCTGTCTCATAACTCTTCAATTAAAACTTGGTTTAAAGGAAACTTTGTGAAATCTTGCCTGCAAGAGGTTTTACCTTAGATGAAAAATTCATGAGAGAAAAATGGCTGACAGCTATGTTGCCAATGCACTACAAGCAGGCCATATAGATAAGAAGTGCTCATTTAAGGACAGCTTTACTGATGGACAGGAGAGACTGTGACCAATTGTTCTACATTAAATGGAGTTCCAAGAAATTCAGGCTAGAAAACAGGGTTTGTAGAGTTATGATAATGTTTCAGAGGGAGATGACATAACTTTATTAGAATAAAGGTAGATTTTTGTACATAAATAAATGTAAATTTTGTATATAGGTAAATGTAGATTATTGTACATGAATAACTATAGATTGTTGCAAATGAAGAAATGAGACATCCCCTGAAAGTAAGCCTTATTGTGTCTTTTGGAGCAAGAACTGATATAAGACCTGGTTTTAAATTTGGATTAAATATGGCATGCAAAACAACATGTATACAACAGAGAGAGAAAAGGTTTATGGCAACCATCTTGGAGTAGAAAAAACAGAGCACGCAAGGATGGCTTATTTGAGATTTTAAAACTTCAAACTGACTCTCTGGTAGGCCCACCCCTTCGACCCTACCCCACAGAGGAGCCCGAGGTCGCGGGCGCCAATACAGTGGTGTTCGTGGCCACCCCAACTCCCCTCAAACAAGACAAAGGTGCCCTCTCTGAGGATCCTAGATGAAAATTTAAGCACATTGGAAAAGTGAAGAAAATCTGTGATAAATACACACCACACCACCATAGTTGGCAAGTTGGATGGACCAGCACCTCACATCGGAAGCTGGTCTAACTTCAGGGGAAAGACAGCTGGAACCTGCAGTAAAAACTTGCAGAGTTCAACCCAGCATGAGGTCAGAGATCTCAACTTGGGCCTTACAGCCAAAAATCAGCCTGAACCTCAGGGGACAGCTGCTGGCTTGCTGAAACTAATTAACTTAGACCTGCACACTCCTATTGTGTCAACAGAGGCATACCCTGAAGGAGGCCCTCTATTTCTATTTGTATTTTTTATTTTCAAAATAATTTTTTCTCTTCCTTCAATCACTTAAAAATTTTTATCTATCATTTCTTTTCTCAAATTTTTTCTTTTTCATATTCTTCTCCCTCTCTCTCTCTCTCTCTCTCTCTCTCTCTCTCTCTTTCTCTCTCTCTCTCTCTCATATCCATTACTCTCCCTTTTTGTTCCTGTTCCTATCCTAATTCAAATTTATTTTCTTTCTTTTCCTTTTCTTCTGTTTTTCCATCTCTCAATTGCCATTAGTTTTAAAAGGCTGTGATTCCAGTCTCTCGCCTCCCTATTGCTGTTAGTTTGTTCTGTTCTTGGGTATATTTTGTTCTTTATCCTCTTCTCTTCAACAGCTCCCTAGAGTTTGTGTGATTTTGGTGTGCCCTCTGACCTCACTTGTAACCTTTCTGTATCCTATCTACCTATCCCTCCTTACCAACACGTTCTGAATCCCCATCTTGAAGGGTAAAGTTGCTATATTAAAGAGTTTATTCACTATAAACATATTTTGGACTAGTCCTCAATTTTGATTTAATTCACACAGTTAAAAGTAATAGATTAATAATTACCACAAATTGTTATTTTCTAAGCTGTGCTTCATGCTATTGTGTTGCTGATTGTATCACTTGGGCTAAAGTGTTGTGATTGATCTAATCAGTTGTCCTCCCTGGTATAATGAAAATGAGATTGCTTCAGACCTATTAGAGACTCAAAACCTAAAGACCAGCTATATCTGGAAGATCAAAGTATTAACCCAGGAATTAAACCAAGGACAGTACCAATGACAAAAATAGAAATGAGAAGGCATCTAAACAAGACACAAACACAAAATTCCACCCCACCAAGGGTAAACTCTGGAGGAAATGAGGTGGAAAAATCTGACAGTCAACCAACTGGACACCCTGAACAAATAGGACAGAAACTAAAGAAACAGATAAATGAGGCTCTAGAAAAATTCAAAACAGAAATAATTTCCCAGATAACCACAGAGGATAGAAAAAAGATATGATTAGAGGCTCTAGAATAGAAACAGATAGAAAATAAAAATAAATGAACTCAGGACCATGATTGAAACCATGAATGCTCAGTATAGGAGAGAAATGGAGATCTTGAATGCCCAACATGGAAAATAAATGGAATTCATGAAACAGACTCAAACAGGTATCCAGGAGATTAAAAATTCTATAGAAAAATAGATTCATTCATAGGAAAATGGATACATATTGAGGATGTACTTCTAAGTGAAATAAATAAGTCATACATGTGTAAATACCGAATAGTTTCTCTGGTGTGAATAAACTGTAATAGTACATAAGATCCAAATGAGATTACTGACATTGTGAAATGGGAAGAAAGGCGCTAAAGGTGTAGGGAAGGTGGGATGCGTGGGGTAAGGGTAATAAGAGAAAAGAAAAAAATGTGAGATAATGAAAAGCTGGAAATAAAGTGTAGATGGGGAGGGGAGGAGGGGGTGAAGGGAGGGCAGGGACAAGGGGAAAAAACGAGAACCAAGACGTGTCCAATAGAGGTACAAGATCCCAGTAATGAATGAAACTGTACTGTATCCCTAAAATGTACCAATAAACTCTATTAAAGCTGAAAAAATTGCTATAGAAAGCCTTAGCAGAAGGATAAATGAATGTGAAGATAGAATTTCACATATAGAAGATAGGATTGCAGTCAGTGGCCATGAAAAGAGAGATCTCTTAAAAACAGAAATGGACCATGAGAAATCAATCCAACAACTCTTACATGATGCAAAGAAGAATAATATAAGACTGATAGGAATCCATGAAGTAGCAGGAGAAAGTTCAAATGACATAAAAAAAAAACTGTTCACATGGAACCTCCAGTCCAAGCTCTTTGAGGTATCTCCATATTGATTTCCATAGTGGTTGCACTAATCTGCACTCCCACCAACAATGGAGGAGGGTTCCTTTCTCCCCACAACCCCGCCAACATTTGTTATTGTGTGATTTCTTGATAGGAGCCATTCTTTGTGGGGTGAGGTGGAATCTCAGTGTTGTTTTCATCTGCATCTCTCGAATGACCAGTGATGTGGAACATTTTTTCATATATTTTCTTGCTGTTTTTACTTCTTTGTATGAGAAATGTCTGTACATTTCGGATGCTCATTTTTGAATCGGGTCTTTATATTTGGGGGGACTGATTGTTTTGAGTTCTTTATATATCCTTGATAATAGTCCTTTGTCTGAGGTACAGCTGGTAAAAATTTTTTTGACCCAGCCATCCCTCTGCTGGGTATCCTTCCAAGAGAACTAAAAGAATCATATCACAGAGAAGTATGTGCACCCATGTTTATAGCGGCACAGTTTGTAATAGCTAAATCTTGGAAACAACCTATTTGCCCATCCGTTGGAAACTGGATAAAGAAGTTGTGGTTTTTCTATAAAATGGAATATTACTCAGCCATAAAGAGAAATAGATTCATTCATAGGAAAATGGATACATATTGAAGATATACTCCTAAGTGAAATAAATAAGTCAAACATGTGTAAATACCAAATAGTTTCCCTGGCGTGAATATTCTGCAACAATGCATAAGATTCTAGTAAGATTACTGACATTTAGAAATTTGAAGAAAGGAGCTAAAGGTGTAGGAATGGTGTGATACGTAGGGGAAGAACAAAAAGGGAAAAGAAAAAAATGTGAGAGAATGAAAAGATGAAAATGAAGTGTTTGTAGATGGGGAGGGGAGGATGGGGTGAAGGGAGGGCAGAGGTAAGGGGAAAAAATGAGAATCAAGACTTGCCATGTAAAGGTACATGATCCCAGCAATGAATGTAGCTGTACTGTATCCCTAAAATGTACCAATAAACTCAATAAAATTAAAAAAAAACTGTTCACAGAATTAATGACAGAAAACTTCCCAAACAGGGGAAGAATTTGACATACAGATAAGTGAGATACATAGGAATCCAAGGAGCCATGATCTAAAAACATCTACACCTAGATACATAATTATCAAGATCCAAGAAACGCAACAGAAGAACAAACTGCTACATGCAGTGAGAGAAAAACAAATCACATACAAAGGAAAGCCCATCAGAATCACAGCAGATTTTGCAACACAAACACTTAAGTCAAGGAGAACTTGGAGTGAGGTATTTCAAGTCCTAAAAGAAAACAATCTCCAAACTAGACTGCTGTATCCTGAAAAACTATCTTTAAAATTGTTGGGGAAATGCCATACTTCCAAAACAAAGAACACCGGAGAAATTTCATGAACAACAAAGCAGCACTCCAAACCCTTCTAAAAGTATTCATGGAAAAAGAAAATGAAGACCACAACTCTGTAAGGGCCAATAGAGCAAATATAACAGGCAAGGCAAGAAATTAAAGAGATGGGGGGGGAGAACCAAAAATAGGAAACAACATGAAAATGAAAAGTCAATACATAACAGTTATAGCCATCAATGTTAATGGCCTCAATTCACAAATCAAAAGAAACAGGCTAGCAGAATGCATTAAGAAGCAAAATCCAACAATATTCTGTATACAAGAAACCCACTTAATCCACAAAGAAATTAATAGACTGAGAGTAAAGGGAAGGAAAACAGTTCTCCATTGGATAGGAGCCTGGAAAAAAGCAGGGGTAGCTATCTTATATGCAGTCAGAATAGATTTCAAACCAAAACTAATTAAGAGGACAAAGAAGGCTACCGCACTTCTTTGTAAAAGGAACAATACAAGAGGAAGAAATGACAATCATAAATACATATGAATTGAATATTAATGTGCCCAACTATACAAAACAAATATTAATGGATATGAAAAATGAAATAAGCTCTAATGCAATTATAGTGGAAGACCTCAATACTCCACTGACACAAATAGATCGTCTAGACAAAAAAATCAACAATTAAATAACAGAAATGAAACAAGTCTTAAAACAACCAGACTTAGTAGAAGTCTACAGAGTGTTCCAACCCACAAAATCAGAATACATATTATTTTCAGCTGCACACGGGTCATTCACCAAAATAGACTACATGCTAGCTCATAGAACACACTCAAGTAAATGCAAAGGAATTGAAGTTATCCCCTTTATATCACCAGACCATAGTGGAATTAATCTGGACATCAATAGCATAAGAAACCACAAAAACTTCACAAACACATGGAAATTAAATAACACTCTCCTGAACAACCATTGGGTCACAGAGGAAATTAAAGAAGAAATTAGACAGTTTCTACAATTAAATGATAATACAAATACAACCTAGAGGAATCTATGAGACACAATGAAAGAAGTTCTATGAGGGAAATTCATAGCAGTAAATGCCCATACTAGGAAAACAGAGTGAGCTCAAATAAACAACCTATTACTTAACCTTAAGCTTCTACAGAAAATTGGAATAGATGGTCTGTATCTGCACCTGATGAAGGCTATCTATGAAAAAACAACAGCCAATGTCATTATAAAAGGTCAAAAAATAAAAACCTTCACACTAAAATCAGGAACAAGACAAGGATGTCTGTGTCACCACTCCTGTTCAGTATAGTTCTAGAAACATTAGCCACAGCAATTGGACAAGAGAAATAAAATGAATAAAGATAGGAAAGGAAGAAGTTGAAATATCATTATTTGCTGATGATATGATACTCTACATAGAAGATTCAAAAAACTCTGCCAAAAGACTGCTAGACTTAATGATAGATTGAGTAGAGTAGTGGGATACAAAGTAAACACTCAAAAATCAATAGTCTTCTTGTGAACAAATAACAGGCTCACTGAGCAAGAAACTAGGGAAAAATTCCTTTCATAATAACATCCAAAAAATGAAATACCTAGGAATCAGTCTAACAAAGGAGGCAATAAACTTCTACGCTGAAAATTACAGCACTCTGAAAAAAGAGAAGAGAATATAAGAAGAGAGAAATACATCTCTTGCTCCTGGATAGGAAACATCAAGATATTGAAAATGGACATACTTCCAAAATTTCCATACTGACTCAATGCAATCCCAATTGAAATCGAACAGAATATTTCACAGAATTTGAGAAAATAATCCAAAAATTCATTTGGAACCAGAAGAGACCCAGAATAGCAAAAAAACATTCTAGGCAAAAGAGACATGTCAGGGGGTACCACAATTCCCAACTTGTAACTGTACTACAAAACCATGGTGATAAAAACAGCATGGTAATGGCAAAGAAACAGACCCAAAGATCAATGGAATGGATCAGAAGATGCAGAAACAACACCAGACATACTCAGCTACCTCATCCTTGACAAAGGAGCCAACCATCCCCACTGGAGGAAAGATGGCCTCTTTAATAAACGGTGTTGGAAAAACTGGATCTCAAACTGCCAAAGATTAAAACTAGACCTTATCTTTCACCATGCACTAAATTAAAATCCAAGTGGGGATTAAAGATCTAAATATTAAAACAGAAACAACAAACTTGCTGGAAGATAAGTTAGGCAGAACT